GCCCACACTTCTTTAAATGTAGAGGCTAGAGGGAGGAAAGAAAGAGGAGAAATGTCCAATAAAATGCCCAGCTATCCACCAGCTTTAAAAGCCATCACAGATGAGGCACCAGCTTTATGAGTTAAGAAGCTGTCTTGGAATTATAGCCAACAGATGACACGTGGAACAGTCACCATCAAGCCTTGCCTGAATTTTATAATTAAAAAATAATAATAATTGTTGGTGGTTTTGCAAATAAGTTTTGGAAAGTTATGCAACAACAGATATCCAAAACAAGTAAAGGGAAAAGAATATTTCCTGTTAGGTAGTAAGCAACAAAAAAAGGTCAGTTGGGTCCAGGATTGTGGCTCAGTGGTAGAGCACTTGCCTAGCATGCATGAGGCACTGGGTTCAATCCCCTAAACCACACACAAACAAACAAATAAAATAGAGGTATTGTGTCCATCTACAATTAAAAAAAAAAAAAAAAAAAAAAAGGTCAGTAGTAATTCCTACTGCAAATTATAATAAATATTTGCCCTACTGAAGTTACTGTTTTGGGTATTTTAGTGTTGTTGAAGGCATTCTGTTCTTTTCTCTAATGAGACCAGTAAAGAAATAGAAGTAAAACAACCAGAAAGGACTGCTCTTCGTTTCCCTTTTTTCTTCCTGATTTATGGCTGTCCTTGTTCTTTTTCCATCAAGAAAGTTTGCCTAGTTTACCCAGAGTAGCTTACCAATCATTCAGACCAATCGCAGCCTTCAGTTTTGCTCTGTACCTCAGTAACTACAGGCACCCTCTTTAACCTCCCTCTATAACACAGGTAAAGTTCAGCAGAGACTACTCCTCACTAAGGACCAAAAGCTTATTACACTCATTTAACTCATAATTCTTTGACCCGATATAATCCTTAGGCAAAGGAAATCAGAACCTATAATCTCTTATTTAGAAAATAAACTAAGCAGCAGGAAAACTATACCTGCTACTTTCCCTCAATGAATCTATTTTAATTATATAAATTTCTTATTTTAGCCCCCATTCCCTTTGCTCATAATTCAGTTATGATATTAACCTTACTCTAGCTTTAATATAGTAGTTATTGGTTTACTTAACTTCCTCCTACTAGAATTAAAACTTCCCTGGAAGAGGGACTCATTAAGAAAGGGAGCATTTTACTCATTGCCGTAATCCCTGAAGCACCTCTACCACTTATACAAATACAGTAAAATTATCTTGAGTCCTGGTCAGCACCTACTCTGTCCATAACTAATCTTTGCAATTCTCACCATTACTTTTATTAAGAAACAATGACTCACCCATACTTATAATGAAATCAGTAACAATGTTAATGAATGCTACATGTCCTAACATTAACCTTCAACAATTATTTAACTTAATTAAGCATGATTTTACTTTTATAAAGACAGTAAAATTATTTTTAAGGAAATAAAGAAGCTATTATAATTCTGTTTTCTCTTCTTTAAGAACACAGGCTTTACATGCCTAAATATTATTAGGTCCAGGGCAAGACCTAAGCCAGATGCCAGGCAAACAATATCAAAGGCAAAGCATGCCTGGTGGAAACTACAGCAAAATGGAGAGCCAACTACCCATATAAAACTGGCAACCACTACTCAGCTCTAACAATCTACTCTCAATCAGGAACAGCCACCAGGTATAGCCACATCCTGTGACTTTTCAAGAGGTTACAAAAATTAAGACTTCTTAAATGTGACATCTTCTTATTTTTAAAAGATGGCAACTAATTACTAAATATTCCAAGTAGACTAAAAGCAAACAATATATATCTGTGGGTTGGATTCTCATCAAAGGCCTCTGGTACTCCAGGCTAACAGTTCAAAAATCTCTAAATTATTAAAAGTACACTAGGGGAACAATTCCCATTTATCATCACCCTTCAGTCCTATAGAAAAGTAACAAGGACTATGAAAAAGTTCCATAAAATTACAAAGTACCACTGACAAACTCCTTTAATTTAAACTTTCTTTCTATTGAAAAAGAAATGCCAGCAGTTTTAGATACAGAAATTTTCACAGCAGAAAAAAAAAAAAAATACAGGGAGAATTTTTTTTTTATTTCAAAAAACTTGAGAAAGGAAGATATTTTTAAAAATAATAGTTAAACTTACACACTTTCAGCCTTAACCAAACTCATGAAAATGCTTAGTAATAAGCATGAGACTAATGATGCATCATGCACCCAGACAGGCTACAAAATACTAATAGTGTTAATATATTTCCATTGATCGGTCTACAGACTGCCACTGGACTCTCGAGTTCAACAGCACAAAACCAGCTGAAAACAAGGTTAAACATTTTCCTGACCAGAGAACCCTAGTCTATCAAACTATTAGTTCTCAATAATGTGACCCACACCTTTGTAATACCACGCTATCAATAACTAAAATGATCAGTTATTAGTAGTCAAATATTTATTTAATCCAAGAACACTTCTTCAATTCTTTCTACAAAAGTTGACATTATTTAAACAAGTTGTCAAGTCTGTTTCCTTCCATATAAAAATAAAAATTTATATAGAACATTTGAATGTCACTTCTAGAAATGTTTTACCTTTTGCTGGAAGCCCTTATAAAATTAAAATAAAGTTTTAAATAAAATCAATCATGGTAGGCTTGTCTTTGGAGTTCAAAACATTCTCTAAAACAGCTCTCTGAGCCAGTGTGGTATTAGCACCTGTAGTCCCAGTTACTTGAGAGAATGGGCAGGAAGATAACTTTAACTCAGGAGTTTGAGGCCAGGCTGGGCAATATACTGAGTCCTTATCTCAAAATAATTAAATAGCTATTAATAAAGAAGATGTTCTAACAAAAGAATTAGTAAGCAATCTATTGACAATAAACTTACATTACTGTTATTTGGGGGGACTGCTTATTTATTAGGACACTAACTATATACCAGGCACTGTGCTGAATAGTTCAGAATTCTCATTAAATCTTAAAAATAACCATAAGAGAGGTACCATTATTAACCCTATTTTACAGATGTGAACACTAGCATTTCCAAATCACTCATCAAGTAACAGACAAATTCCAGCCCAAATCTTGACCAACTTCACAATTTGCATGCTTAACAACTACACTTTATTGCCTCCAAGAATTCTGGGTTGATATCTAAGGCACATATTTTTTTAAAAGAGAGAGAAGAGGAAATTTGTATTTCTGAATGACAAAAGTTTATAACTACATTAGAAAATAGGATGGTGATGTATCCCAGTGGGTAGAGCTTTTTGCCTGGTATGAGCAAAGAAAGCATGAGGTTTGATTTCCAGCACTGGAAAAAATAAATACTAGAAATAGAGGGTACTTTTTATAACATTAACAATTCCAATATAGTCATACCAATTTTATTCTTATTCCTAAATATATATAATGATAAAAGTGTCACCTAATGAAATTCTCACAAACACAATTTTTCCTAAGTACTCAATCAGGTTTATTATTAAAAAGTTAATGGGAACACTTTGTACTTTCCACTCAATTTTGCTGTAAACCGAAAACTTCTCTTAAAAAAGTCTATTAAAAACAATGTAAGAACTATAATGCTAAATATGCCCAAGCCAATTCAGTTATGAAATGACACAAGACTATATCCTTTCAATATTAGAAGCTGCATTCTGTTTATTATAACCACAGTACTAAGCATGTACTGGGCATTTAATAAATATTTGTGTAACTGTAAGGTGTGTAAAAATGGAATTTTGAACACTTCCAGAACATTCCCAGGAAAGTATGCAATACACAAATATATGTTGGAACAAAATTAGATCAAAAAAATAAACTGCTGAATAACATAAAAGGAATACAACATTTCTATACCATAGCTGGCATAAATAAGATTACTTTCCACCTTAATTATCAAAAAGTATAGCCTTAAGTAAAAAATGATTATTACAGAATCTTTTCCTAATTAGTTTTTTAAGTCCTTTCTAAATCCTCTAAAGAAGCTTATAAAAAAATCTTTTGAATTGTCCATATGAACCAAATCTTTTTTTCCTAATATAATATTTTCTTAATATTAATTTAAAAATGATGAAATGATGTATCAAGCAAGTGTTGCATACTACCACATCACATCTCAACATTTTCTTCTCATGGAGGCCCACCTTTATAAATACATACCTAGTTTCATTTATGAAGAGTAGATGTAAGGAATATGTTCTACCTCATACAAAAGTGATTTGTCCTATATGTTCTGAAGTAAACTATCAAAATTAAGTTTCAAATGGAATACTATATTGCCCACCAACAAAAAGTGCTGAAGAGAAGCACCATTAGTTATTGGTTTTCTTCAATTTGTATTTACAAAGTCTCAATGTAAAAGTATTACACAAATACTAATAAACAGAAATTCCATAGAACAAGTTACAAACATTGTTGGAAGTGTAGGGCCTTAATCATACGTGTAATTCACAGAGCTTTTTTTTTTTTTTCTGATTTCTCATAAGTAATCGAAGCACTTCTAAATCACTTTTAGTGATTTTGGTAGACAGAAGCTGGGATTTGCAATTTAACAAAAAGAAAGCATTCTGACCAGAGCGTTTTCCAAATTTTATTAATATAACACTCATTTCATTATTTATACTTTAGTTTCTCACTAAACATCCAGCTTCGATGGGGAACAAACACAGGTTATTATAGGCTGTGACTGCCTTAATAGCTACAGGCTCGGCTGAATCCTAGGACACCACCTCAGTTTGGGAGGGGCAAACCCATATCTGATTCTCACTAGATACACATTTTCCCCATGCTTCCCATCTTAAATTTTTACATTTTCCCAGAGGAGCAATAAATACACGAAAACGCCAGGGAGTATGCCTGTAGGGGAGATTACTGATCAAATTAAATTCCGATCCATGAAACCTGAAGCTTCAAAACTTTTCCGAACATATCACAGCTGAAAGAACAAGGTAGGCTTTAGTCTATTCCCACTTCTTGCCTGGTGCCATCTACTCCAATCCAAGAACAGAAATCATGACTTACTGGTTAGTTGGAGGAGCAGTCAGCGGTATGGCCACCTCTTCCTCCTCGTATTCTGGTCCATCCAGAGAGTCACCTTCGTCCACTGTGCCAAGGCCCGCGCCCAAACTGGGCAGCTGAGGCGGCGGCGGCAGAGGGGGAAATCCGCCGCCTGGCCCGAGGGTCTCAGAAGGCAATGAAATGGTCCCCTTCGTGAGAGCCATCTCTCCACCAGGTCCGGCGGCAGCAGTAGCACCAGCCACGCCAGCAGCAGCGCCTCCCCCTGTCAGTCCAGCTCCCCCGAGTACCCCCGCCACGGACCCGGCTCCTAGGAACCCTGACCCCAAAGCAGCTCCGCCACCCAGAGTCGCGGCCACTCCAGCCTCCACTAGCCCAGGATAGGGGGCAGCTGCCACGGGCAAGGCCGCGGGTATCTTCACCCGACACACTGCCGGATAGGCGCTGGAGCCCGCTGCCGCACCGCCTCCTGCTCCGGCAGTCACCGGGCCGCCTTCCTCACTGCCGGCCTCGGCCGCCATCATGTTGAAGCCCGCTCTACCGTGCCTACCCTGCCTGCCCGGGAGCCCCGGGGGCCAGTAGGCCCCGGCTCCGAGCCGCCCCACCCAGACGTGTCCCCACTTCAGCTCCCTAGGCGGAGGAAACAACAACAAAAGGAGAGAGTCCGCCGCCGCGCCCCCTCTTCGGGCCACAGCCCAAGATCGGGAGCAGCCTGGGATACGGGAAGCGAAGTGGGCAAAAAACCCAATGCCAGCACAAACGCCACCTAAACCTCACCTTACACACCCACACTCACGCACACACATGCACAGAAGCGGAAAACTTCCTGGCTTCAGTAAAGAGGAAGGGAAGCCCAGGGAAAGCGGCTGAGACGGCTGCTGCTCCTTCAGCCGCCGCCGCCGCTTCTTCACCACCCCAGTTCCGGCCACCCCCACCGCAGCCACAGTCGGTGCCGCTGCTGGGGCTGGGGCTGGGGCCACTGCAGCCGCTTCATCCTCCACCCGGCAGGAGCCGCGAGGGGTGGGGAGGAGAGGAGGAAGAGGGGCGGGGTAGTGGGGAAATTGAACTGCTCACTACCTGGAGCACTCAGTTAGTGAAACCCGAGAGAGAAAGGAAGGCGGGGTAGGGGAGGACGGGCGGAGGGAAGGAAGGGCGGCAAAGGAGGAGGGAGAGGGCAGCTTCTACGCAGGCGCATTCCAGTCGCAGGGCCGAGGGGCCGGGCCTGGAGGGAGGAAAGGGAAGAGTAGGGAGGGAAGGAAGCGGCGGGGACGCGCTCGCCGCGTCCCTTGGGCTCCGAGCGCGTGGCGGTGCGGTCCCTTCTCCAGTCGCTGTGGCCAGCGGCGCGCGCCTGCCTCACCGGGCTTTGTCTGATGCGCGGGAGGGAAGAGTACTTAAGAACGCGACGGGAGTGCTGGAGGAACCTGCCTGCGGTGTAGAGGAAGGAAAGGAAAACGAAAATGCCCTAAGCTAGTTCCCTACTTTCTGACCTGTGGAAAAAACCGCCTCAGCCGGCGGCACAGAAACTAGAAGGGGCGAGTAGCCTGCTGCAAAGATCAGGGCAGTACTATTAATGTGCTCTTCGTTCTTGTGTTGCATTATACAAATCAGCATATAACAATTACATGTTTAAAAAAAATAAATAAACTAGATCCTGCCACTCAAGAAAGGAAACGAAATGGATAAAGGGAGCTATGTGAGAAAGAGGGATGGAAATGTTGGGTAGAAATAGTAGCTGTGAAGTCACATTTCTGCCACATACGTATGTTTTCTTCCCCTGCTGTCTCACATAAACGTATTTTCCTGTGCCATTATAAGTCTGTCAGGTACTAATGAAGAAGTATGAAAACGAAAGGTGCCGCAGAAGACAAATCAATCTACTTTTGTCCTGCTTTTTTGCGCAAGACTGCAGAACATGATCCACAATGCACCTTTATGTGAAACCTCAAGAATGTCCCAGAGTGCCAGTTGTATATAGTTTCCAAAATTATCAATAAATTCAAGTTTTACCCTTCAAATAGCCAAAGAGAGGGGCTTTGTTTTGTCTTTTATCCTAAAGTATATATAAATTATTAAGTTGTCCTTTAGTATACTCAGAGGATTGCTTCCAGTACCAAAATCTGAGAATGATCAAGTCCCTTACATAAAATGGTGTGATATTTGCTTATATGCACATCCTCTCATACACTAAGTCATCTCTAGATTACATACAATACCTAATACAATGTAAATATCATGTACACGGTTATTGCGTTGTATTGTTCAGGGAATAATGTCATGAAAAAAAGTCTGTCCATGTTCAATACAAATGCAGTTTTTTTTTTCTTTCTTAGAGAGATAATTTTTTAATATTTATTTTTTAATTTTCGGTAGACACGACATCTTTATTTTATTTTTATGTGGTGCTGAGGATCAAACCCAGCGCCCCGCGCACATGCCAGGAGAGCGCACTATAGCTTGAGCCACATCCCAGCCCACAAATGCAGTTATTTTTTCAAATAATAGTGTATGCCTCTTAAATAGTGTAACTGAGAAAACAAAGATGCATTAGTCTCAAAAGCTGGACTTCATACAGTGGATTCAGACCAGAAATAATAGCCCTGGAACTTGTAAGAAAGGACAATTCTCAGGCCCCACCTAAGACCTTCTGAATTAGCAACTGTACAGCAATCTATTTTTTAACCAGTCCTCCCAGTATTGTACACTTAAATTTCAGAACCAATATACTAGAGTCTAATATGATAATCAGGATGTAGGTAAGCAATGCCTTTAAAATGTTCTGAAAGAACAAATAGGTGTCATTCAGTAAATGGTGAATAAGAGATGTGGATACTGGGTTCCTATGCTCTGTGCTATTCTACAAAGGAGGTTAGGAAGTGAGAAAAATACAGAATGAAGCAGTTTCACGATCCTTAAAATAAATAACAAAGTACTACTTCTTGTGGGCATTCTGAGAATAATTTTTTCTTTTAAATGTAGACCCCCAGAGTTATAAGATCATCAAAGTACCTACTGTGCCTGCTACCTAATGTATGAACCCCAAGTACAACTTCTCCAAATTTTCATATAGTTGGTGCTTAAAAACCAGTCCTCCAACTCTCCACCCCTATCAGCACCATCAGCTATGGAATGAACTTGAACTATCAGTTTCTCACTATCCCCTGGCAATCACACATCTCTAAATGCTCAAACCCCATCTACTGGAGAATCTGCCATCAGGATTACTACTCTAATCACCTAATTACCTCCTTCTTCTGTTTTGCTCCTTCCCTGTCCACCCCCACTAGGGATTGAACCCAGGGGCACTTAACCATTGAGCCACATCTTCAGCCCTTTTTATTTTTTTTCTTTTGAGATGAGTCTCATTATGTTGCTTAGACTGACTTTGAACTTGCAATCCTCCTGCAAGAAGTGGTTTCTAATTATTGCCTGATTCCAATACATACTCTGCCTGTTCTTTTAGTAAAAATGTATTTTCATATAGAAAATAAAATAGAAGCAAAAAGTAGTTATGTGCTGGGCACAGAATAGCTCATTGACTGCAAAATGGTAAATATTTAAGAAAAACTATTGTGAATATTATGATAGCACCTTTGAGAAGTAGATTAATAAAATATTTTCATTAAAAGTGCCTTATATTTGCAGATATTTTTAAAGGTTTCAAAGTGCTTTCTTGTGCACTGTCTCTTTCAGAACTCTGAAAAAGTATGACAATATTATTATTCTCAGTTGGCAGATTTGTAAGGCTTTTGAGTTCTAAAGGTGTGGTCAGTTCATCTCAAGAGATGGATGTCTATTATAAGGATTTCCGGAGAAGCAAGGCAGAACAAGAAAACTGTTCCACAATAAATGTCTAGTGTCATAGGGAACTGTAATAACTCTTATTGTTCAGGATCCAGAAGCAGCTCTTGGGAATTAGCAGGCATGCTCATGGCCATGTCTGAAGAATCAAAACTGTGTTATTATCTCTTTGGGTCACTATACCATTCCCATGACTTAAGCGCTCTGTCACTGCTTCACTGTTCCTCCCAACACAATCACTGTTTCTACTGATTCTCCACCCCCAGTACCACCATTGCTCTCTCCATACTTCTCTACTTTATGATTCCTATTTAGTAGTGGTTTTCACTGCTTTTGATTCTACTTATAACATGCCAAGGGTACAATGGTGAACTGAAGTAGTTGGGTCTTTGATCTTATGGAGCACATAGGTTAGAAAGAGAGGTAAACATTTAACCAAGTAGCCACAGAGATAAATGTAGCATTTGTGGTAGACTGGGGGTATAGCTCAGTTGTAAGTTACTTGACTAACTTGCCTGAGGCTCTATATTCCATCCATAGCACCCCAAAAAATAAAATAAAAGCTGCATTTAATACTAAGATAAATTATATTAGGAAGAGAACTCGAACTAATTTGAACACAACAGTCTTTATGGTCACTTGATCTAAGTCTTTGAGTGTTCAGAGCATTTTGGTGTAATAATGTAGACACAGTAAATCAGCCCCAAACAGGAAATATTGCAACAGATTGTCTTTGAATCCCACCTCTGTCACCACTAGCTCTGTAACTCTGGCAGAGTTACTTAACCTCTCTCAGTCTCCATTTTCACATCTCTTATATGCATGGAAAAAAATACTTTTTTTGCTAGGTTTGGTTCTCCCAAGAAGCAGACCCTGAAACTGAACTGGAATTTAAGTTATTTGGAAGGTAATCCCAATAAACCCTATTGCAGAGAGAGGAAGGTGAAAAAAGAAAAGGAAGGAAGCCAACAAAATGTGCATTATCAAACAAGTAACCACTGAAGATGGGGAAAGGGTGTCAGTTCCATAGGGTTACAATAGAAGACTATGTAAAACATGTCTCAGGTTTTTATGAAGATTTAAAGTAAGGAAATAGTGGAACAAGAGAGGCTCTCAATGATTTGCATCTATAACCATTGATAAAAGTCTTGTTGAGACAATGAGCTTTACACTCATAAAATGGTAGCATAATAATATACTATAATTATAATGTCAGTACATAATGGATCATGAATGGTATAAATGACAGTGATGCTGGTTTAGAAAACTTAGCTTGTTTCCTGGATTAAAAGGGCTGTTGGTAGAGTGCTTGCCTTGCATGCACAAGGCCCTAGGTTCAATCCCCTGAGCCACAAAAAAGGGGGGGGGGCAAAGCTTTTCTTTGAACTTCTATTAACTTTCATTATTAACTTCTTTAATAATAACAGAAAAGAGATCAGATCTCCCAAACAAAGAGATAGGAAAGATGAAGAAACAAAGTGATCATTTTTTGGTGATAGAGAATAAATAAGCCAGCTTTACTAGAGTGGAGAATTTGTGTTCAGAAAGGAATATGAAGTTGTAAATTAGAACAAGATTATGGAACATTTTTAAGGCCAATCAGAGGCTTTTGGCTTTTATCTGGGGACAAATAGGCAGGTGCAGAAGATTATTGAATAAAGCAGATTATGATAGAAACAAAAATCTATGGTTGAGGGGGCTAGAGTTATGGCTCAGTGGTAGAACGTTTGCCTGGCATGTGTGAGGCCCTGGATTCGATCCTCAGCACCACATAAAGATGAAATAAAATAAAATAAAGGTATTGTATTCATCTACAACTATAAGAAAAGGTATTTTTTAAAAAAAAATCTATGAATGAGCATTGAGTCTTAGATCTTGAAAAGCACATTGGATTTGCCTAATATAAGTCCTATGCGAATGTAAAAGACTTTTCTAGAAAGTTTGTGACTTGTAGGAAAATTTTCAGTGAGTCAGTGTTAAAATCTGGCATAACTGTAAATGTTAGAAAGTTTAATCAGAAATGTGATTCTGATCAATTTCTCACATTGGTCCTAGTTCATGTTTCTAAATCTATAATATAGAGAGACCCCTTAAAATACTTGAAGCTAACAGTTTCCCAAGAAAAATTTCTTATGTGAAAATTCTGGTTTCTTTCATCAGATTTCAAAAAGCCAGATGTGGAGGCCTCACCATCTTGTTCACAATCCTCTATACACATTCCCATTGTTGCTGTCATTTGGTCGTGGTTTGATACACAGCAGCAAAGACATATTCTAACCAACCTACTGTAGATAAACTTTATGTACCTTGTTCTAAGATCCGTTAATGGAGTCTAAGATTAGCAGATATTCATATCACAACATTTGGATGACATATAAATGCTGGCCCCT